TTTAGTCTCTGCAATATATTCTGAAATGGCTTCAAGTGTTTCTGAATTCAAAGATGTATGGGAGACCATATTGGAGATAGAAGGGGGAGGGTGAGTAAAGATTGGGACAGTAATGGACTGTACCAAAGTAGAGGGGGAGGAAAGAGTGTAAGGGACTGGAGATGAAGTGTGGGGGGGGACAGAAGAGGCAGAAACCTGGGAGGTGGCAGAAGAGGGAGAAACTTGGGAGGGGACGGGGGTGGAAGGCATAGTACGAGGAGGGTGAATCTCCACACTTGTAATAGAGCCAGAGAGAGGGGAAGAACTAGGCACAGAGACTGGAAAGGTAAAGTGTGGAGGTGGAAGAAGGGAAGGGGCAAAGAAGATTTGAACAATGTGGATTTTTTGGACTTCTGAGAAGTAGAGGGGCGATTGGTATTAGGTGTCGTACGAGGTCTTGTCGATACTGGGGCTTGTGAGGAAGGACGCGAAGATGTGAGAACAGACTGAGTTGTAGTCAGGACGTCAGAGCCAAGGACAGCAAAAGGATTAGATGCCAGAGTGGCTATGGGAGGGGTAACAACAGAGGAGGCTGCAGAAGATGGGACCCCAGAAGTGGGGGGATGTTTTGAAACACAAGAATAAGAAACACGGGGTAGTCTCCCTTGGAGGCGGAGATGAGTAACTGCCATAGCATAAGGGAGACCTTCTGCCTCTTTGAGGCAATGGATTTCACGTTCATTTAAGTAGACCTGGCAATGGCGGGAGTACGAAGGGTGAGCTTCATTACAATTAAGGCAAGATGGAGGTTGACTGCAAGATGTATTAGAATGGTCGTCGGCACCACAGACTGGGCATTCGGCCATAGATCTGCAGTATTTCGCTGGGTGACCAAAACGCCAGCAATTTCTACACTGTTGCGGTGTAGGTATCACCTTTCGAACTTGCAACCGATGTCCCGCGACATATACAGAGGACGGGAGTTCTCGGCTGTCAAAAGTTAAACGAGCTACATTGCAAGGGTAACGTCTCTGCCCACGGGCAGGAAGGACATAAGTGTCTACTTTGAGGATTGGGAGATCCTGGAGTTCCAGCTGTTCAAGAATGTCATTGCCACATGACTGGAAATTCTGTTGGACTATGGTATGGGGCAGAATGACAGTACCACTACAAGAATTGAGAGAAAGATGTTTTTCAATAGTGATAGGAGTAGTATCTATATGCGAAAGGAGAGAAAGATCATGAGCTTGGGTAGCATTCTGGACAGTGACGATGCGCGTACCGCTCTTGAGAGCATGAAATGAAAAATCTCATACCAACATGACGCAGGAGCGCTTTGCCAATACTATGGTCAGAAAGGTAGGCAGAAGTCGGTCTTAAAGTAAAGAATTTAGTCCATTGTGTGGTCCGAAACTGAGCGTGGAGAGGGAGTGCGTGACGTGTCGGTCTTTTCCGAGTAGAATGGGAAGGTAATGAAGGAGCATCATCAAGAGATTGACGTTGGCGTTTAGGAGTAGGACCGGAGTTGGTCTGGCGTGAAATGGGCGGGCGATTCGAAAATTGCCGTACCCTAGAGGGAGAAGCCGGAAGCATAGTCAAAGGAGAGCGGAGTTCAGACAAATCGAAGGAGTCAGTTGAAGCCCCGGTACCTGAAGCGGGTGAGGAAACAGCACCAGCAAGAGGTACAGGGGCATCAGGAGTGTCCGAAGAGTGGTCTAAAAACAAGGCAGGGTCAGAATGGGGTGCAGTATCAAGAAGGGGCCCGGGGGTAGTGGGTTCTGCATGGTTAGGTTACTCCTTTGCTTTTTGCTTTTAAGAAAAAAAAGAAAGAAAAGAAAATAAAAATAAAAAAAAAGAATAAAAAAAAAGGGGGGAGCCGGGAGGAATAGTTCCCAGGAGGAATGAAAGGGCCGGAAATCTCCATCCGCGCCCAAGAGGACCTCAACACCACTAGTAGCGCAGATGCAGCATGGAACCCGTGCCATACCCTACCCTTCATGCCAGTAAACCAGCAATCCAGGATAGCAACCTCACATCTGCCGAGCTACCTCGGTGGACAAAAGAGAGGGCGGCCGGATATCCGCCACAAAGCATACCTCCTTTGGCCACCACCCCCGGAATCCGAAAGGTGGCTTCCCGAGATACACCCGTCGCCCGAAAGACACCCAGAGCTACTCCGGGATACCGGAGAGGGATCGGGACATCCCCAGGCGATCCAGATTCCACGGCAAACTACGCCACCGCCAAGAACCTCAACGGAATGGGATGGACCCCAGTATCCTTTCCCCTACCTAGGAACTAGCGCGCCTGTGGGAGAAATCCCACAGGCCAAAAAGAGGAAGGGCAAAAGGGAGGGGTGGGGAGGAGGAGGAGGAAAGGAAAAAGGGGAGGATGGGATAGGGGAGGGGAGATTGGGGGGTAATTAGGTTCGGTCTGAGGAAGAAGACCGAGTGGTCTAATTCCTCAGACCAAAAGCCTCTTCACCACGCCAAGGAGCCCCCCTTGAAGAGGAAAGAAAGGTGAAGAGAGTGGTGAGAGAGTGCAAAAGGAGAGCAGATGATAGAGTGGGAGAGGCACTGTCAAATTTTAATGAAAATAAGAAAAAGTTTTGGAGTGAGTTAAACAAGTTAAGAAAGCCTAGGGAACGTATGGATTTGTCAGTTAAAAACAGAGTAGGGGAGTTAGTAGATGGGGAGAGGGAGGTATTAGGTAGATGGGGAGAGGGAGGTATTAGGTAGATGGCGAGAATACTTTGAAGAACTTTTAAATGTTGAGGAAGAAAGGGAGGCGGTAATTTCATGCACTGGCCAGGGAGGTATACCATCTTTTAGGAGTGAAGAAGAGCAGAATGTAAGTGTGGGGGAGGTACGTGAGGCATTACACAGAATGAAAGGGGGTAAAGCAGCTGGAACTGATGGGATCATGACAGAAATGTTAAAAGCAGGGGGGTATATAGTGCTGGAGTAGTTGGTATTTTTGTTTAATAAATGTATGAAGGGAAGGGGGACAAAAGAGATTGTAAAAATTATAGAGGAATAAGTTTACCGAGTATACCAGGATTGCGGATGAGCAGGGAGGCTTCAGAGTGGGTAGGGGATGTGTAGATCAAGTGTTTACAATGAAGCATATATGTGAACAGTATTTAAAGGTAGGGAAGTTTTTATTGCATTTATGGATTTAGAAAAGGCATATGATAGAGTGGATAGGGGAGCAATGTGGCAGATGTTGCAAGTATATGGAATAGGTGGTAAGTTACTAAATGCTGTAAAGAGTTTTTATGAGGATAGTGAGGCTCAGGTTAGGGTGTGTAGAAAAGAGGGAGACTACTTCCCGGTAAAAGTAGGTCTTAGACAGGGATGTGTAATGTCACCATGGTTGTTTAATACATTTATAGATGGGGTTGTAAAAGAAGTAAATGTTAGGGTGTTCAGGAGAGGGGTGGGATTAAATTATGGGAAATCAAATACAAAATGGGAATTGACACAGTTACTTTTTGCTGATGATACTGTGCTTATGGGAGATTCTAAAGAAAAATTGGATATCAAATTGGGGAGGAGTATGGAATTATTATTATAATAAAAAAGAAGCGCTAAACCACAAGGGCTATACAGCGCTGCAAGGAGGAGTATGGAAGAAGTGAATGTTTCCAGATACTTGGGAGTTGACGTGTTGGCGGATGGATTTATGAAGGATGAGGTTAATCATAGAATTGATGACGGAAAAAAGGTGAGTGGTGCGTTGAGGTATATGTAGAGTCAAAAAACGTTATCTATGGAGGCAAAGAAGGGAATGTATGAAATTATAGTAGTACCAACACTCTTACATGGGTGTGAAGCTTGGGTTGTGAATGCAGCAGCGAGGAGGCAGTGATGTCCTGTCTAAGGGCAATGTGTGGTGTAAATATTATGCAGAAAATTCGGAGTGTGGAAATTAGGTGTGGAGTTAATAAAGGTATTAGTCAGAGGGCAGAAGAAGGGTTGTTGAGGTGGTTTGGTCATTTAGAGAGAATGGATCAAAGTAGAATGACATGGAGAGCGTATAAATCTGTAGGAAGGCGGGGTAGGGGTCATCCTAGAAAAGGTTGGAAGGAAGGGGTAAGGGAGGTTTTGTGGGCGAGGGGCCTGGACTTCCAGCAGGCGTGCATGAGCGTGTTCGGTAGGAGTGAATGGAGACGAATGGTATTTGGGACCTGACGATCTGTTGGAGTGTGAGCAGGGTAATATTTAGTGAAGGGATTCAAGGAAACCGGTTATTTTTACATAGCCGGACTTGAGTCCTGTAAATGGGAAGTACAATGCCTGCATTTTAAAGGAGGGGTTCGGGATATTAGCAGTTTGGAGGGATATTTGTGTATCTTTATACGTATATGCTTCTAAACTGTTGTGTTCTGAGCACCTCTGCAAAAACAGTGATTATGTGTGAGTGAGGTGAAAGTGTTGAATGATGAAAGTATTTTCTTTTTGGGTCACCCTGCCTCGGTCGGAGACGGCCGACTTGTTGAAAAAAAAAAAAATATATATATATATATATATTATGTATATATATATATATATATATATATATATATATATAATATATATTATATATATAATATATATATATTTTTTTTTTTTCAACAAGTCGGTCGTCTCCCACCGAGGCAAGGTGACCCAAAAAAAAAAAGAAAGAAAATACTTTCATCATCATTCAACCTTTCACCACATCACACTTTATCACTGCTTTTGCAGAGGTGCTCAGAATATAACAGTTTAGAAGCATATAGTATAGAGTTTCACACAACAACCCTCCAAACTGCCAATATCCCAAACCCCTCCTTTAAAGTGCAGCATTGTACTTCCCATTTCCAGGACTCAAGTCCGACTATATGAAAATAAAAATAAATATATTATATATATAATATATATAATTTTATATATATATATTTTATATATATATATATATATATATACATATATTTTATACATACATATTTATAATTTATTTATTTATTCATATATAATAGGTGTTTTAAACTGCAATAATAGTTTTGAATTAACTTTATTTCTGCAATTTGAGTAGTAAACACTGAAAAACCGCATTTCAAAATTTCTAGAGTAAAAATGAATTTCTCTTCCACCTGAATAGTGAACACTGAAGAAAAACTATTTAAACAAAAAATATCTAATTATGTCCATATGAGAACTTTAAATTACAAATATATAAATGCAATTAAACATGTAACGGTAAATCCAAGTTTTATTAGAATCTGTTTTAATAAAATATTTTCCTTCAAGAAATTAATAATAAAAAGACTTGCATTATTGAAAAAAATCTGCCAAAAATGTATTTACCTTAATTTAGAATTAAAGCACGTGTTTTCTGCTTCACTGAGAATATTAATAATGAAAACCATTCAGAAATTTATTCAATAATATAAAAATCCATCCCCCCAATGAAAAGCAGGGGTGTCACTAGCACGTTAAGAGACCATACAATAAGTGTCAGGGGCCCGAGACTGTTCAACTGCCTCCCAGCACACATAAGGGGGATTACCAACAGACCCCTGGCAGTCTTCAAGCTGGCACTGGACAAGCACCTAAAGTCAGTTCCTGATCAGCCGGGCTGTGGCTCGTACGTTGGTTTGATGCAGCCAGCAGCAACAGCCTGGTTGATCAGGGGCTGATCCACCAAGAGGCCTGGTCACAGACCGGGCCGCGGGGGCGTTGACCCCCGAAACTCTCTCCAGGTAAACTCCAGGTAAGCAATAACCGAAAAGTAACATCATTTTAAAGAACAAAGCACTCATAGTATATATAAATTAAAAAGCAACACAACATAATAAAAATTAACAAAGATATTTATGGAAATAAAGTATATAATTTTTTTCATGAACTTCAAGAATTAACATTAGTTTTTTTTTTGTAATAGCAGGTTTTGTTCATTAAAGTTTTAATAAATTCAATTTAAAAATTTCACACTAATATATGCAACAATTATTATTATTATACTATCATACAAATTTGCTTACTACTCGCTTGTAAAACTTTCACCAAAATTATTACATTATGATAAACTCAGCGAACTTGCAAATCATCACTCAAACGCTACGGAAATTCCACTCACTGTTCAGTAAATTCAAGTTACTTATATGTGAAATTCAGTATATACTTGGTATGAACCACTTAATTAAATTAAGATGGTAGACCAGAGGTCTAGCTTCTCCCTACGAGCCCCGTGAGGGCGGGGACTGTGACTAGGCCTGGGGACACTTGGTCCCAAAGATGAGGGGGTACGTGTACCTCCTCCCATGAGACTTAGGTCTCGAGATACTCTCCAGATAGGGAGCCAAGGCCGGGAAAAGACCCGGGCCGGGAGAATACCGACGAATAAGAAAAAAAAATTAAACTGTATATTGTCTTCACACAAGAAAACGAAAACTTTGCCCCTTTTTTTCTGCAGGGTTAACAAATACAGCGTAAAATATAAAAAGTCAGTTGTATGCTTCTGATCCTCAAAATGAAAGTAACGAGAAAATAAGTGCCTTGTTTTCACAAGAAACTCTATAAAACGGCAATGTATAAAATAAACATTTCCTACAAAAATATCAAATAGGAAATCACTATAATTAGTAAGCTAAACAAATTTACTAATGCAATTGTTTTAAATCGGACAAGCTGCTTGAAGATGAACAATGAGATTTTTATCAACAAATAACAGCAAACCGTAAAAAGAATACGGTCTATATAGCATATGCAAGAAAACAGATTTGTTGAAAAAAAAATTAATTACAATATACATAAAAAGGCATTTCCAAGGCGTGGCATGCTAATTTAGTTCAGTTAGATCCCTTCCAAAATACAAAATCTAGATATTTAAATATAAACCTTGTGCTTATTACTGCATTGTTGTAAACATGAGTAACACATACAATTCTAATAAATTATTTTGGTATTAAATAGTTAATTGTGGCAAATATGCACACGCGTAGGGTGTGTCTAAATAAATTGGAAAAAGGGCCAAAAATTTTCACCTACATAAATGTGATATGACCCATCGCATGAACCGTGAGGTCAGTTAATGTGGAGAAAACTTGACCGCATACACTACACTGAATACTACTGTCATTACTGCCATTAACAAAATGCTCCACATGATGATTGCCATTATTAACAAATTGCTCCATTTGGTGACTGTCATTACTCACAAAGTGTGCCATGCGATGACCTTCATTATTCACATACTCCATGCGATGACCGTCATTATTCACATACTCCATGCGATGACCATTATTTACATACTCCATTCGATGATCGTCATTATTCACATACTCCATGCGATGACCGTCATTATTCACATACTCCATGCGGTGACAATTACTCACATACTCCATGGGATGACCGTCATTATTCACATACTCCATGCGGTGAGTCTCATTATTCACATAATATTCCATGTGGTGACCATCATTATTCACGTATTTGGTGTGGTAACCGTCATTATTCACGTAATATTCTATGCGGTGACAGTCATTATTCACAGAATGCTCAATGCGGTGATAGTCATTATTCACAGAATGGTCAATGCAGTGACAGTCATTATTCACAGAATGTTCAATGCGTTGACTGTCATTATTCACAGAATGATCAATGCGATGACCGTCATTATTCACAGAATGCTCGATGCGGTGACAGTCATTATTCACAGAATGGTCAATGCGATGACAGTCATTATTCACAGAATGGTCAATGCAGTGACAGTCATTATTCACAGAATGTTCAATGCATTGACTGTCATTATTCACAGAATGTTCAATGCGTTGACTTTCATTATTCACATGTTCAATGCATTGACTGTCATTATTCACAGAGTGATCAATGCAGTGACCGTCATTATTCACAGAATGTTCAATGCGTTGACTGATATTATTCACAGAATGATCCATGCGGTGACCGTCATTATTCACAGAATGTTCAATGCGTTGACTGATATTATTCACAGAATGATCAATGCAGTGACCGTCATTATTCACAGAATGCTCAATGCGTTGACTGATATTATTCACAGAATGATCCATGCGGTGACCGTCATTATTCACAAAATGTTCAATATAGTGACTGTCATTATTTGTATATGCCACACGGTGATTGTCACCATTCACAATATGTTCCATATCGTGACTGTCACCATTCACAAAGTGTTCCACGTCGTGACTGTCACCATTCACAGTAAGTTCCATGGGGTGACTGTCATTATTCACAAAATGTTCCGTACAATTATATGTATGTACATCCCCATTAGGAAATGTATCTACACAACTCTCTTGAGATGATGCAAGTTCGGTAGTGACTTCAGTGCTAGATAATTGTTTTCCGTCTCTCATTTGGGTGACAGTCTCAGCAGTTCCTACTAAAATATACTTATCTGGGATCCCTGGCCTTTCACCAGACCTGTTGGATACTGGTACACACTGATCACGGCTAACAAAATTTGTTTTAATGACTGAATCATTCTCACCTTGGGGTTCACCTACCTGTTCTACAACGCCTTCAATAATATTGTAATTATTAATTTCAACCTTAAATAATTCTTGGCAATTATTAAGTTCAATTTCAACTATTTCCAGGTAGTTCCGTTCTTCGTGATTTTCTGGAAAAGTAAATAACACTTCCTTGTTTTTTTCATTTTCATTCGGGATATCACTCGAATGATTTGCTCCCAGCATAGCTACGTCACTTTCTTCATTACTTCCAATAAACTTCTGAGATGCCTTATGATAATTATATGGACTTTTGTGAAAGCAAATTATGTAACTACATTTAAATTGCTTGCCACAAATATTGCAATCTATACATTTTTGGTGATTCATAATGTCATCTTTTGAAACAAAAACTGCCCCACACACTTCACATTTATATACTTTATTCCTAGATTTCTCAATTATGTCCCCGTGTGCCATTTTGCAATTCAGAGTTAGTTTGTTTGAGTTTGCAAAACTTTCTCTGCAGAGCCTACCTTCAGACTTCACTTCTGTTAGTTTGTTCCTGTTGTTTTGTAGTTCACTGTGGCATTTTGGTCTCTTTCTGTGTTTTCTTATTTTGTATGGATTTCTAACTGAATGTACTCGATCATGACTCTTCAGATTAAATGAATGTAGAAAACATTTGCCACACTCATCGCATTTGAATGTTTTTTTACTTGCATGCACTTTATTATGCTTCAAAAGATCACAGTATTCAATGAATGATTTATCACACATCAAACATACATAAGGCTTTTCACTTGTATGAACTCGAGAGTGAATCTTCCAATCTCTAGATTTTGTAAAACTCTTTTCACAAACATGACACACATATGTTTTATTTTCATGGGCTTTTAAATGGTTAATAAGACATTTTGTGTACACGTATGTCTTCTTACAGGTATCACATTGCTTATATCCCTTATTATATTGCCTATGATCCTCATCATCTACCATTACTAATTGTCCTTCAATTATTGGTGAATCTGTCATAACTTGACTGATTTTAGATCGATCTGGTCTGTTACTAGAATGCTGCATTTTATGACTCTCAAGAGATGAGTTGGCACTGAATCTTCTCTCACAAACATTGCACTTAAATAACTTCTCGTCAAAGTTGATCCGACCATATACTTTCAAATTTGCACCATTTATTATTTCATTGTATGTGTATGAATCTTCATCCATATGTTGCCTTACATGAGCCTTGAGTTGGCAAAAAACTGCACACTTAACACCGCAAATGCTACACTCACATGGCTCCTTACATGACTGAGACTTTTTATGTTTCCAAAGCTGCTGGTAATACACAAAGCATTTCTGGCAATAATTACACTGGAAACGTTTTTCCCCTGTGTGTTTTCTTGAGTGATTCCAAAGACACTGGTAAAATGTAAATGTTTTCTTGCAATCCTTGCATTTATAAGGTCTTTCTCCAGTATGCTTTCTTAAGTGACTCCTAAGGGAAGATTTCTGCGTTAATCTCTGTTTGCAAACCTGGCATTCGTAATAAAGTCTACCATCAACCATTACTTTCACCTCTTCATTAATTAAATTAACAATGCTTTCTTTGTAAGATTCCCTTGTTTTTTCGTCTTTATGAAAGACCTGACAATCATTTATCTGGTTATCTTCACTAATACCTTTATTACTAAACATACATAAACTGGGATTCATCTCCTCATACTGCTGGGTATCAATGAAATCTGGCAATGGTGCAAATTCATTCCAAAATAACTGACCTTCATCTGTCATATGGACATGTGTGTGGCTCTTTAGCTTGGACAATTGTGAAAATGTTTTGCCGCACACTTCACAAGTGCAAACATTAAGATTATCAGACATATTTCTAAGGCTTCTTCCGCAAAACATTAAAAAAATTAGCTTTACATCTACAGTTTGTCTCAGTTCGTTGAGTTTCTCAAATCCCGAAACTTCTGAGACAGAAAATACTTCAAATACCAGCAAGTGAACATTCAGAATGTGTACTACTGGGATTAATATTTAGAATCTAAAAGTATCATTAGAAAATTATCAAAAAGTTCACCAATACATTTTTTACTGATACACATGTAATTTAAATCCATGCAAATAAATGAAGAATAGTGAATCCTAATTCAATTTAGTTTAGCAAAACTGTTGCATACTTATTCGAAGTCATTCGGAAACACTGTTACATGCTTTTTCCAACAGTCATTCGGAAATTATTGATGAACTGTAACTCGAGTCAGGCGAGGATTGAAGTTTGTGTTCCATATAGAAGGGACGTTTTGTGCGGGAGTGAAGAAAAGTTTATGGCTGCAGACTAAGCACCCTACGCCCTTTTCCTTGGTGTAGTAACAAACCTGTAAATAAAAACACATTTTGTAAAATATTGTTTAGTCACAAATCTTCATTAACACAATATAATTATATTCAACCAAAGATTACAAACGCTGTTGTTTTTATTGTCTTTTTTTATTCTTTATTAGTATCTTAATCAATTCTGTACACCTACTCGCCATGGGTTTGAATCCCACCCGTTCCGTGGTTTGTTTGTAATTGTGTTATTACGATTTCGTGAGTTACGACCCAGTGGTCTAGTTGGTGTTGATGTGGTCTTGCATGAATTAAATATTAGGCTCTGTCCCAGTACTCCTTACACAATATATTACTTTCACAGTATTGTAAAATTCTCATTTTATTCTATGAACCCTATTACAGATATGAATGCTACTGGGAACATGCTTACACCCAGCTATATCATGTAAAAACTGAATAGTAAGCTTTTACTGTTAACCTAAAGAAAAATGTACTGTATATAATACCTATGAATCACACTTTGCAAGAATTGTAACATTTGAATTTCACTTGCATTATCCTTACAAACCTTGTACATAGATCAACCTACAGTCTTAACTGTCTTAAAGATGCAAATGCTGCTAACGCTGAAGTAGCCATCTGGCGTAAACTGAAAACCATTAGTCTTTCTTTAAAATTTTCTTTCCCCTCCTAGTATAAGGACTGTCATTCACTTATCACAAAAGATACACTTCAATAGGCTAAGTGTAAACAATAATTTTGCTGGTTATTTTCTTGGAAAAATCTCGAATAAGATTTAGGTGAATAAAATTTTTTACCGAAAGTATAATCATTCGAACAAAGCTATCCATTTACAACGTTAAAGAATATCCAGCTTCTTCTATCATTATCATGCCAGAAAGCTACAACTTTACCATGCTAGTGGCCTATAAACTGAAGCTCTCGCTTCACACGGTGAGTGTCCGGGTTAGATTCCTTGTGCGGGCTGAAATATTGGGCGCGTTTCCTTACACCGGTTGTCTATGTTCACCATCAGTATAAAATGGGTGCCTGGGTGTTGGTCGACTGGTGTGGGTCGCAACCCGGGACAAAATTGGCCTATTTGCCAGAAACGCTTTGCATAACAAGTGGCTTTCTATATAGTACTATGTCATTGATGTCAGCTAGGCCTGTATACCTCGTACATGTACATAAAATAATAATATTATATTATTATAAATGCTTGGTGTTCATATTATACATCGGGCAGCAATCATTCCTTTGTGTTGCACTTTCTGGCTTTGACATAAAAATTATAAGAGGAGGCGAGCAACGATGGATACCTGGAGGTTACCTGGAGATTATTCCGGGGATCAACGCCCCCGCGGCCCGGTCCATGACCAGGCCTCCCGATGGATCAGGGCCTGATCAACTAGGCTGTTACTGCTGGCCGCACGCAGTCCAACGTACGAGCCACAGCCCGGCTGATCTGGCTCTGACTTTAGGTATCTGCTGATGCTTTGTAAAGTGTACATCATCTGGCCAGGCTAACAGAGGATGACATTAGAACTGTCCAGAAACTGAGATATAAACTTAACTAAACCAGATGAACATACATCCAGGATGCAGACACTGCCATAGGATCAAAAACTAGCAAGCAAAATCCGAAAGACTATCTTACTTGAAATTACCCAAATACTCTATATTTAGGTCCTATCAATCCTACTGAAGGCTCACTCATCATAGTCACTTAAAAAACAAGACAGGAAACTTGCTACCACTCATGTACAAAAAGAAAAAGCAGCTCATGTGCTGTCGCCCGCTATTACAACTATTTACCAAATCAGTTGAATCTTCAACTTTCCCATCCATACTCAAGATTGCAAGGATTACCCTGATCCAAAAAGGAGGCGATCCAACTTAAGTGAATAATTATAGGCCTATATCAAACGTGGCCATAATATCTAAAATCCTCGAAAAAAATAATATATAAGCGAGTTTACTCCTAGCTAATATCTCACAACATACTTAACCCTTGCCAATTTGGGTTTAGACCTGCGGAAACCATTCGATACAGTGGACCTGCAGGGGTCGAGTCCAAGCTCCTGTGTGTGTGTGTGTGTGAGTACTCACCTATTTGTGGTTGCAGGGGTCGAGTCACAGCTCCTGGCCCCGCCTCTTCGCTGATTGCTACTAGGTCCTCTCTCTCCCTGCCCCATGAGCTCTATCATACCTCGCCTTAAAACTATGTATGGTTCCTGCCTCCACCACATCACTTTCTAGGCTATTCCATGGCCTGACTACTCTATGACTGAAGAAATACTTCCTAACATCCCTTTGTGTGTGTGTGTGTGTGTGTGTTAGTTACCATTTTGTCCTAGGCACATGTCGATTAGACACTAGGCCTGTTGTATATGAGTACGTGTGTGTGTGTGTTTATGTGTGTGTGTGTGTATGAATTTGTATATGTGTGTGTGTGTGTGTGACTCAACAATCAATATTTGCACCAATAACTCACTACAGTTGTGACCGGGTGTGGAAGTGTGAATTGCTCATTACTCTAAAATTTGTTCATGATTGTAGCCATGTATAAACGTAAGTAACCATTCTTACAGTATTCATTATCTTTGTAACTTGTGGGTTCATTACCTTGTACCTAGTTCAGCCATCAAAACTTTGGGGCCCGGTCCCTGGACCCATTGTGTACCTCTGTAATCTGTAAATACCTTTGTAACTTGTCATGATTGTGACTAGACCTACCTGGAGTTCATTACCTTTGTAAATTGTGAGTTCATTACCTTTGTAAATTGTGAATTCATTACCTCTGTAACTTGCTCAGCTATCAAAACTTTGAGGCCCAGTCCCTGGACCCATTATGTACCTCTGTAATCTTTTGACTACCGCCCACAGGATGGGTATGGGGTGCATAATAAACATATTAAACTTAACTTACAGTGGACCACAATATCTTGCACCTTAAACTAGAACATTACGGAGTCAGAGGACATACCCTTGAATACCTAAAATCTTATCTTAGCAAGACACCAGTATGTCTCTACAAACGGTGTAATCTCGACTACTGAACCTGTAGCCGTAGGAAAGCCACAAGGCGGTGTCCTTGGCTCTCTACTCATTCTCATTTACATCATCTCCCCATCGCATCTCATCTCCTTAAACCAGTTCTATTCTCAATGACATTACTTATGTCTTCTCCCACTCAAACCCGACTATGCTTAGTGACACTATTAACGACGATCTACTAAAAATATCTACGTGGATGACGAACAACAAACTCCCTCTCAATATAGACAAAAGCCACTACACGCTGTTTGGAAACAGAGCTTTAAATATCCAACTTAACATATTGGTCAATCGTTCCCCCATTACAAGACACACCGAAGGCAATTTTTTTGGTCTTTATCGTGACTGCAATCTTAAATTTCATACCCATATCCAGCATATAGCCAAGAAAGTCTCCAAAACAGTTGGCATCCTTTCCAAGATACAATACTATATACCCCAAATGACACTATGCCACTCCCTTATCTACCCTTACCTCGCCTAAGTACCTGTGCTTTGGGATGTACTACGACTAATCACCTTAAACTATTAGTGACCCAACAAAAAACTGCTGTGAGGATTATCACCCATTCCTGCGCCTGACAACACACCCCTCCGCTCTTCAAGAGTTTGGACTTACTTAATATACAAAATATGCACTCATATTACTGTACCTAGAGCATTAAACTCCAATATAATCCTTCCTCTCAAACTGTTCCTTGATAGCTACAGCAGAACACAGGTACAACACAAGGCACAAAACTCTCTTCGACATCCCCAGTGCCTGCCTCACCTTACGCAAAAATGCAATTCAGATAAAAGGCCCCAAGATCTGGAATTCATTTCCCGAACTAGCAAAAGCTCCCCTGTCTGCCAATCAATATAGAGTTATAATTAAAAATCGCCCATCTCCCTATACCAAACATAACCAACTCATCCAACTACTTCCAGTTTTTTTCACCCTTATAATCATCCCGTAGCCTGAAATCACTGAGTCAGTTTGAAACTACTTCAATTCCAATTATTTCAAGATCACTAAATTCTACTAACTGTAATATCATTGTCTGCATCGCTCTTGGGCCGTGCGGACAGGCTGCGCGGTGGCTCCTGATTAGTCTAGTCTCTGCGTAGTTTTCTCCAGTCTACTCACGATGGCGGAGGGAGGACGCAGGCGCATAACACTGTCTGCCTGGACCTAGTGACTGGCTTACTTAATAGTCAGAATGCTCATCTACTGTTGATGGCGATCCTCAGAGACACGTATGGGATTACTAATGAAGATTTTTATGGAGTAGCTTTAAATGGCAATTCAAGATTGTTCGTCAAGTTCAGACAAGGCGCCACTTATGAAAACATGGTGGCTAAGTACCAGGATGTGCTGAAAACCGTCAACCCTGGTGTTACTGCTCGTCTTCGAGATGTGTCTCGCTATTACACCTTGGTGAAAGTGCGCAACGTTCCGTTTGAGGCGGACGAATGCGATTTACGGAATGTGTTTGAACAGTATGGTACTGTGCATATGGCGACATTGGGACGATAGCGTGACGGTCCCCTTGTTGGTATGCCAGAAGGGTCGTTTTCTCTGAAAATGTCCCTTAAACACCCGATACCGTCATATGTGGTCATGGAGGACTTCCGAACGCAAGTATATGTAACGTATTCAGGTCAAAGGCGTACGTGCAGGCTTTGTGGGACGTACGATCACACTGCAGCACAATGCCCTACGAGGCGTGGAAGAACAGAGGTTGCAACAAGGATAGATGGGGCAGCAGCGCCACAGTCATACGCTGTAGCCACATAGAGTGCACCTTCGACTGGAAAACTGTGGAGTGAGGAGGTCGAGGGGGAACAAGAGGAGTCACCTGTTTGTTTGACTACCTGGCGTAGGGGAAAACGAAGGCTTGGTGTCGGCGATATCAGAGGAGGTATCCGTACCTCCCCAGGATATTATGGAGGCATCCCTTCAAGAGGCTTTGAATGTTTTGTTAGATGCTTTGGCGTACGA